CACTGGACTGCAAAGTCAGTTTGAGTCAAAAGGTCAATGGTTCAAGCTCGCCACACACTCCTCAGAAACCCTATACCAGGGTCACTGTGGGTTGGAACTGATTTAACAACACTTAACAACAATAACAACATTGCCACCCACCTCTCCCCAGCTCTAAAGTAACCTAGAAAACCAACAGCCTTGCAACTGTACACCTATAAAAACATGGGACCTTTCACATAACAGTCACTGGAGAAAGCAGGTTGAGAGCTCCTACCACATCTCATTTCCAGAGTAGTTTTGTTTGTCATCCTTGCGGTGCCTTTAAATCTCTCAATTCCAACTCTTATCTTTATTTTACCTGGCTCAGATTTAGTTCAACTGAACTTTTGTTCAGGAAGTTGGGAAAATTCTCACCAACAATAATATCACATATGTCTGATGCAACAATAATAGTTGTTACAAACAAGAGGCTTACCAAAAGTCTTAAAAGGAAAAAATTGGGAAATGAAACATTCATAGTAGGCTTAGGGTAAAGTTTAAACTATTTCTGTTACTCTAGAAGAAGGAGCATAGATGTTCAAGACTTTGCATATGCCCAAGAAGTCATTAGCTGGAAACCAAGGTAACTGAATGTAAGCATCAGTGGCTACAACAAAACAAAGAATATAGACTTTCCCATAGTTTAGTCCAGGAAAAGTTATTAAACAAAACAGTAATAGCAGACAGCTCAGGCATCAGGGATGTGATTAATCTGATTCCCAGAGTTACCATGTTATATTATTTAAAATGTTCAGTTTTCATTTAAAAGAAAGGAAGGAAGGAAGGGAGGAAGGAAGGAAGAAACATGATCCCATTTATGCAAAATGTTCTGAATAGGCAGATCCATACTGTAAATGCAGATTAGATTAGTAGTTTGCCGAGGGCTGCTTATTAGGATTGGAGGAACGTTTTCGGAGTGACTGTTAGTGCATAAGGGGTTTTTTGAGGGAATTGTTGAAGATGTTCTGAAATTAAATAGTGATGGTTGCACAACTTTGTCATTATCACTGAATTGTACATTTCAAAAGCGTGAATGGTACAGTAAGTAAATCATGTTTCCATAAAAAATTAATATTTAAAAAAAAAACCCTGAACGAACATTCCTCCATCATCATATTTTTTTTAATCAGTACATTCTGAGAAAAATTATATGCCATTTCTAGTTCTCTTTGTATTTATAGTGTCTTTTTTAATAGTTTAATTATAAAATAATTTGTTTTTACAGAAATTACATGAAGTAAAATTTTTCTTTAGTATAAGATATTAAATATTAAAATTTTTATCTAAAATTATATATACCTAACAATTATGAATAACACACACAATTGAACACAACAGTTATGATGTATCAAAATATTGTTAGTTTTCTTTTGATGATTCAGTTTATATCCTCCTTTAATTAAGTTAAAATAAAAGAATTGGAAACCACTTGATTCAGAAAAGAATCTGTTATCTAGTCATTATTCATCTGTTTCCTCAAATCCTCAGAAAATACCCCAAAGTGCTTCGTAAATCATATTAAAATGACTATTGATTATATTTTTCTTCCTGAAGTACCTTATTGACCCTGGTATCATTGAAAGGGCTTAAGAAATTGAAATATTATCATTTAACCCAGAAAACTGTATTTTTAGTTAAACTATTTTTATGTACTCTAAGTAAAATTTTATCATAACTTTGGAACTGCATGTTTAATTTATCCAAGTAAGGGAAAATCTTCACCATATCAGTAAATTGGCAAAATCTGTTCTCATTGTCAAAACATTCAGCTAAATCACTCTTTCTGTTCTTCTTACAAAGTCTGACTATTCTTTTATAAATTTGCAGATGGACGAGGCACCAGCTTTTAACAAAAACTATTGAACACTTTCAGTAGAGTTATTTGGATATAGTATGGGTGGCACAGATTGTTTCATTTCATACAGAGAGGGGCATCTGTGAAAGGTGACGTGGAAAATGATTTAAGGTGCATGTTCCTAGGCAGATTTGTTTGAGGATACACTGTATATTTCAGCTGAGGAGGTATGTCTGTATGTTTATGTGGTATAGAAAAAGGTAGTAAACCTGCCTACTGTTCTTTTTGTTTATGATAATGTTAGTCTACCTGACTCTTTTTCATCTTTATGGGAAACAGAAAAACGTTGGAAAGTGGACATTTTATTTATAAGACTGCTGTGGCACTATAGGATAAGTATAGTTGACTGTAAGCCACAATAAGTACACTTGACTGTAAGCCACAAGGTTAGTGGTTCAAACTCACCACCCACTCCTTGGAAACTCTGTACAGGATCACTATGAGTCTTAACCAACTCAACAGCACTTAACATTTGTATAGAGGACATTAATGTTTGTGCACTTTGTATTAATTTGGATTACAGTTTGACAGAGCTGACCTGCATGTGTCATTTGTGCCTGTTCTACATCCCTCTCCTGTACTTGTGACAGATTTCTCTTGGTGTTCAGATTGAGTCCCAGAATCCTTCACAACTGACAGCTTCTAGTCAATTGAAGGTGGTCTAGAAGGTGCAGTCTGTATGCCTTTTCTGACTTAATTTTCCCTTTAATGTGTCATACTTGGCCTTGATCTAGAGTTGAACAGAAACATAATATGGATAAAATTTTGTACTTCTCTTTTTCTTGAATATGTGTGTGTATGAGGAAGCTTCAAAAATTTAGTGGAAGAAATCAGTTGCAAGAGAGTAGACTTTTTCCATGAACTTTTTGAAGCTCCCTTATATGCATTTAAAGTCCTGGTATGGTGCTGTGGGATAATGCACTGAACTGCAAGGTCAGCTTGAATTTCAAGGTCGGTGGTTCAAATTCACAAGCTGCTCCTCTGTAACCCTATACAGGGTTGCTATAAGTCAGAACAGATTCGACGGCACTTAAAAACAACAGCAACATAATATACATGTATGTGTATTTGTTACACTGCAGAAATTCCCCTAAATGCATTGTCATCCTGTTTTTCCAGTTTTTAATTTAGGGATTATAAAGATGTTTACAGAAATTAACTCTTTCATCTCTAGATTTTTTTTTTTTTTTTATAGTATTTGCTCTTCTATATGTTTTAATTCAGATTCTCAGTAGTAAGCTGAGGAACAAATAATACTCATAATTTGTCGATTATTATTTTTGCTGTTAGATGTCTTTGAGTTGGTTCTGAAGTATTGTAACCTTGTGCACAACAGCAAAATACTGCCCGGTCCTTTACCGTCTTCAAAATTGTTACTACGTTTGAGTCCTTTGCTGTTGCCACTATGAGACAAGTGGTTGTATTTGTTGATCTCCTAGGAACTTTGTTTTCATGATCACACTGGCATGTCTTGTCTTTTTGTACTTCAGATTTTCTAAGTATAGAAAGTTTATCAGTGTGATTTTCTTTGATTAAACTTTATTATCCCCTAATCATCTATGGGAACTTGTTGGGAGAACCAATTTTACATGGGACTTTCCCCTATTTTACATAATATTTTTGTGAGCAGAAACATTTGTTCTGAACTGTCTTTTCAAGAGTATTTGTAAAGTGGACTATAGAGCAATGGACAGGTTTACTCTTAGCCTTAGAAGATAGTGGTAAAATTTTCTTCTATTGCAAATGCTGATTAGTTATGCTTTACTCTTCATTGTAAAACATTCAGGTGCCTGAAGGTTAGGGTTACTCTCCAGCATGATCCACTGTGTATATGGTGTCATCTGGTCCTATTCGAGTTCATGTTTGGGAAAATGAAGCTCAGAGAAGTAGCACAAGAATATCCTGACATTATGGCTTCTAAGAAGCCCTGGGAACACAGTGATTTACAAACTTTACAAACTGGGCTGCTAACTGCCGGGTCAGCAGTTGAAATCTACCATCCATTCCATGGGAGCAAGATGAGGCTTTCTGCTCCCATAAACATTGACTGCTTTGGAAAACCCTACACAGGGGTCGCTATAAGTTAGAACCGACTCCACAGCATACAGCCACCACCACCACCACACATACTTTGCTTTATTCCATTTCATTTCATTACACTTCACAAATATGTAGCTTTTATAAATAGAACCTTTGTGGCAACTGTGTTGAACAAGTGTATTGGTGCCATTTTCATAATGCTGTTGCGCATTCATTAGAACTACAGTATAGTGTAGACAGTTTTTATATGCACTGGGAAACCAAAAAATATGTGTGACTTGCTTTTATTGCTGTAATTGCTTTATTCCGATGGTCTGGAACCAAACCCACAATATCGTCAAGGTATTCCTGTACTGTTCTTGTAAGTAATAAATTCCTGTGTCTCTCACCCTGTAGCTTTTGTCCCCTGCCAGCATCTATGAAATCATGGCAGACTAACCTGCTAGCTTGAAAGTAGGGTCAAATCTCAGATTCTTCACAGGTCTTGACAATATGTGGTGGGGGTGGTAATGTGATGTGGAGTTGGGTCCGACTCATAGTGACCATGTACAGGGTTTCTGTGGCTGTAAATCTTTACGGGAGCAGAAAGCCTCATCTTTTTCCTGTGGAACGGCCGGTAGTTTTGAACTCCTGACCTTTAGATTAGCAGCCAGATTCATAACCACTGTGCTACCAGAGCTCCTTTGACAATATGTAGGAAATACAAATACCCAGCCGATGTCAGCTCAGAAATGTCATTTTTATCCTGCTTTTCAGTAAAATAAAAATGTCATTATGTATTATTGACATAAATGTATCATAGTTTTTTCCAAATATTTTTAGGCTAAAATAAGTTCTTGGCATAATCTTGAAATTATATTTAATGGTAGCTTTAAAAGCATAGCTATTTAAAAAAAAAAAAGCATAGCTATTTAATTTTTTATGCATATTAAATTGTATTTTACTTGTATGTATGTATGTATGTGTGTGTCTTTGTACTCATGTCTTCAAAAACCAATTAATTCTTTTTTTGTCTAATTGCATGTTTTAGAATTAATCTTAGCCCGGTAAATGTCACCATGATGTGTTCTTTGCTTTATTACAGAATATTGGAAAGAAGATGACGTGCCAAGAGTTCATTGCAAATCTGCAAGGAGTAAATGAAGATGGTGATTTCTCCAAGGACCTACTGAAGGTACAGTTTGAAATACTGGGTTTTAAAACATGCTTTTATTTGTATTTTTTGCTTTTTTTGTTTTATTTTCATTTTATTGCTGGTATTTCTATTCATCCTTGATTCTTGAGACTTCAGAATGCCTATAAACTAACAATTCCTAAAAAGTCTCCATCTTAATAACTAATACTGAGATACTAAGTAGATTTGGTGTAGTCTGTGAGGCAAATTGGTGAAGCAGTGTTGTTGAGCTTTTATTTGCAAGCTGACTCTCAGAACTTGGGAACAGTCATAAATGCACGTTCACTGTAGAAACAAAAGAGCCTTTGCAAATTGTATTGGAAACAGTTGTGACTCTGTTTAGTCCCTTCTCACAGTGGTACTTAGGTTGATTCTGGAAATAGATTAAATTAAATGTGAGAAATTGAAAACTGCATCAATTAGTTGCACTCCAACATTATTATTGGTAACAATCAGCCTACTCTTTCCTATTCTTCTATTGTTTTCAAGGAGACAACAATGTGTGTGTGTGTATATATATATATATATAATGTTGTTGTTGTTAAGTGCCATTGAGTTGGTTCTGACCCATAGCAACCCTGTATAGGATTTCCAAGGAGCAGCTGGTGAGCTTGAACCACCAACCTTGCAGTTCAAATGGCTTTGCAGTCTGGCACATTAACCCACAGCACCACACCAGGACTCCTTGTGTATGTGTGTGTGTGTATATATACATATATATCATAAATAAGATATATATTTGATCAAATGCAAAATAATTATTATTGGCAATGGATGTAAATTAAATGTTCCAGAAGTTGAGAGTAAAATGTATCTTGAAAATGAGCTTTACAAATTTCTATTTGATTCTGGACTTCCTTTTGAAGCTTAGTGCTCACATAGATCACATTTGGAATCAGTTTGTTAGAGTAAACTTGCTAAGAAATTCAAGTCATACTATAATATGGTAATGTGCCAGTTGAAAGATTAATTCTTTATTATGCTTTGTGTAATTTTTCAGGTATGTAGAATGCATTTCTTCCAGATTTTGAAAAACATATATGTGACAAAAAATGAAAGAATGTATAAAAATATGAAACGATCAGGTTCTAAATCTTACTTCAGTTCAGCTTATTAAAAATTATAAATTCTGAAAAATGTTGGAAGAAAAGTAGTTTCATGCTGTTAATAAGGAAGGAGTCCTGGTGTATCATTGTAGGATAAACACTGGACTCCTAACCACAAAGTTGGCAGTTCAAACCCACCAGCACCTTCTTGGAAACATTATACACGGTTGCTCTGAGTTGGAACTAACTCAGAAGGACTGAATAACAATAACAGCAAGGAGGCAGGTATTTTTTCAATTTGTTTCTTCATAGTGCTGACGCTGCTATCTATGAAGACAATTGTAAATGGGTATAGGAAATAGAAGGTGCAGAATTGTGACATGATAGATGTTTCCTGTAAATTTAATCGAAGCTATACGGAAGATGGAATCTGAGTGTGGCCCTGCAGGATAATGTGCTGGAGCACAACATCAGTTCGAACCCCTACCTAGGGTTGCTATGAGTCCGAACCGACTTGACAGCACATAACAACAACCACAGCAATACATAAGATGTGTGTTAACAAATCTTTTTTCATTGTAGTATTGTTTTTGTTGTTTAGTGCTGCATTATTACTAGCATGGATAATAATGAATTTTCAAGAGAGGATTTGTGAGGATTTTATCAAGTTGTGTGAAAAGTGAAAATTGACAGGGAAGTTGTCAAAGTGAAGCTTTTGGATTTTAATGGTAGGCTTATTATGGTAACTGACATGACTGTGTATAAATTACTAGGCAGATTCAGAGTGTGTGTGATGGAAATGTCCAAAACTTTAAGTGTAGTTAATGTACTACAGTCCATTGATTACCATTCGCCTTCGGGAAACAAGCATTCTCCTTTGATACACTATATATACCAAGAGTCTGCTGGATGATTTGTTGCATTTGTGCAGTTGAGGTCTTGTTTACAAACCCCAGGGGTAAAATATGTGTTTATGCTGTTCTTTATTTACTATGCAAAAATGACAGTGAAATGACACTGAAAATGACTGTGGAGTTTTGCATGCAAATTGTCAAGTAAAATATTGATTCTCTCTCATAACAAAAAGGAGCTCTGATAGCTTAGTGGTTACAAATCAGACTGCTAACCTCAAGGTCAGCAATTCAAAACTACCAGCCATTCCATAGGAGAAAGATGAGGCTTTCTGCTCCTGTAAAGATTTGCAGCCTTGGAAACCCTATGCTGGGTCACTGTAAGTCTGAACCGACTCCACGGCACATAACCACCACCACCACCACCTCATAACAAAACTCAGCTTCTTACCCAATATTCTACTTCATTAGGAATCTGGACTTTACTTTAGATTTCAAAAAAGAACAATGTTACTCTAAACTTACTGTTAATTTTTTTTTCTTTCTATTTCATTGTTTTATGTGACTGTTCCTTTTCTTTGTTTCCTCTTTTCCTTTCTTTCCATTTTTCTTTGTGTTTTTCTTGCTTGTTTGCTTCATTGCTTGCTTTTTCCAATGATAGCTGTCTCTGGGTTCCAAGGTGAGATAAATTATTAGGAGAATAGTAATTAAAATTTGTTCATGTTATGAAGTGCCGTTCAGCTGATTCCGACCTGTAGATAGCAACCCTGTATAGGGTTTCCAAGGAGCAGCTGGTGAGCTTGAACCACCGACCTTGTAGTTCAAATGACTTTGCAGTCTGATGCATTAGAACACCTGCCCTCAGAAATCACAAATAATATGAAAGAGGGAGGGTTCTTTGTCCCTCAGAATGAATGGCTATTCCAAATTAAGATAAAAGTACAAACTAAATTCTGCTTGTACTCAACAGAACTAGTTAAGAAAATATAAACCTAAACATACTTTATTTAATGCATGATAAATGAGAAATTTATTTTACGCATTTTATTAAAAAATTGAGTTGTTTTGCTTCCAAATTGACCTTGATGATGGTGGTAATATGCTGAGGCTGTAAATTTTTGTTGTTGTTATTGTTGTTGGTAAGTACCTTTCAGTTGGTTCCAACTCATAGTGGCTTTATATAGAGTTTCTGAGGAGCAGATGGTAGGTTTGAACTGCCAACCTCACAGCTCAAACTGATCTTTCAGTCTAGCACATTATCTTACAGCGCCACACCAGGACTCCTGTAAATCTTTCCGAGAGCAGAAAGCCTCATCTTTCTCCTGTGGAAAGGCTGATAGTTTCGAACTGACCTTGAGATTAGCAGTTTAACCATGTAATCACTATATTAAAAAATAGACGCTACATTGAGCCATTTTTATAATTTACAATTGCACTTCAATTTTTATTATTTCATCAATTGACCTAAACAGATATTTGTGCTTAGTTGTAAATTAAGATTTTTTAACCTCACAAGTTGCTTAGAGTACGTGAGAGGCTTCAGAGGGGCTTCAAAAAGTAAATGGAAAATTTCCTTTTTTAATGTTTTTTTTTTGTGTGTGTGAGTTATGTGATAGTTTACATGGGAGAACATTAATTTTACATTCATTCTATTGTATATCGTCTCATTGCCATGGTTACAATCACCTCCATGCATCATCAACCAACCAAAGGGTATACCCTGCAATCCTGCCCCCCGTACTCCCCAGGTCTTTAGCACACAGTCACTCTCCCTCTCTGGATTTCAAGCCCCCAGCTGCTCCATCTCTCCACATCATCGTCTCTGCCTCCATCTCAGGCATCACTGCTTCTCTGGGTAGGGTCCCGCTCTCCGCTCTTCTCCATTGATGATCCTAGGGACCTCCACTCCTAGACTGGAAAGTTAATCACTCCCCTCCTTGCTATAAAATGTCTTCTTTTACATTTCCAACCCTCACAGTATGTCCTGATAACAATTATTCACTGTTGTATCACAAGAGATATAGATGCATTTCATTTCATCAGCCCTGCCTAGACAGATTGGATACTACTCAATGGAGATTCTACCTTCTTCCAGGCCCTCTGGATCTAGGTTCCCTCTTGAAAGCTTGTAAGCCAGTCACTTCTTGCCTTTGTAGCCCCCCACCCTACCGACCCCCCGCCCACCCATTTTGGGTAGCCAATGTCCAAGTTGCCCATCCCTGTCTACTCTGTGTATGGAAGGGGTGGGAATGATCCTTGCTGTAAAAATTTGTTCTCTCTTTTGAGCTACTGCATCCATAGGTGTAGGTCAAGTTCATCAAATTGTACTCTTTTTTTTCCCCTCTTCTTTCTTCTTCTATTTGAGCTCTGATCATCCAGTCTTTGAAGCCAGGTCAAGTGGGTATTATCTGCAAGTGTGGGTGTTCTTGTGCACATCCTCTCTTGTCTTATCAGCTGGACGCTTCATTCTCCACCCTAGTCCTCTGTGGCTGTATCGCTGACTCTGGGCCCATGAGTCCCCAGGTCTTGCCACACTGCTGGCCGACCAGGTCTCCACCCGGGTTCACAGGAGTCTATTGAACATTGTAGGGCTTAGCTCACCTCTTCATTGTTGTTTTTCCCTCACTTCTCCTTATGGGTGATGAATACAATCAAGAGAGTGTATTCCCGTTGAGTTTTAGTCTTGGAAGAGGGTTTGCACTGAGGAATTTCCATTATGTTTTAATTTCATTTTCCCATGATCATTTTGAAGCCCCTTGTATGTTATTATATTACGTACCTATTATAAAAGTAGAATAAATCCACTGCCACCAATTTGATTCCAACTCATATCACCCCTGTAAAGAGTTTCCTCAGCAGCAGGTCTTTACAGGAGCAGAAAGCCTCATCTTTCTCCCTTGGAGCAGTTGCTATGTTTGAACTGTTGACTTCTCACTTAGCAGTCCAGTGTTTATTCTACAGCACCCACAGAGCTCCTTAAAGTAGAATAAAGTAGTACACATTACCATTGAGGTGATTCTGACTCATGGTGACCGAGGCGTGTGAGAGTAAAACTGTGCTTTACAGGGTTTTCAGTGGCTAATTCTTCAGTAGATTGCCAAGT